TTCCCACGCAATACTTTTGCGTTCCCTCGTTTGCGTTCCCTCGCAATACCTTTGCGTTCCCACGCAATACTTTTGCGTTCCCTCGTTTGCGTTCCCTCGCAATACCTTTGCGTTCCCACGCAATACTTTTGCATTCCCTCGTTTGCGTTCCCTCGCAATACCTTTGCGTTCCCACGCAATACCTTTGCGTTCCCTCGCAATACCTTTGCGTTCCCTCGTTTGCGTTCCCTCGCAATACCTTTGCGTTCCCACGCAATACCTTTGCGTTCCCTCGTTTGCGTTCCCTCGCAATACCTTTACGTTCCCTCGCAATACTTTTGCATTCCCTTGAAATACCTTTGCGTTCCCACGCAATTCTTTTGCATTCCCACGCAATACCTTTGCATTCCCTCGCAATACCTTTATGTTCCCTCGCAATACTTTTGCATTCCCTTGAAATACCTTTGCGTTCCCACGCAATTCTTTTGCGTTCCCACGCAATACCTTTGCATTCCCTCGCAATACCTTTGCGTTCCCACGCAATACTTTTGCGTTCCCTCACAATAACTTTGCGTTACCACGCAATACTTTTGTGTTCCCTCGCAATACCTTTGCGTTCCCTCGCAATACTTTTGCGTTCTCTCGCAATACCTTTGGGTTCCCACGCAATACTTTTTTGTTCCCTCGCAATACCTTTGTGTTCCCTCGCAATACCTTTGTGTTCCCTCGCAATACCTGTGTTCCCTCGCAATACCTTTGCGTTCCCACGCAATACTTTTACGTTCCCTCACAATACCTTTGCGTTCCCACGCAATACCTTTGCATTTCCTCGCAATACCTTTGCGTTCACACGCAATACTTTTGCGTTCCCTCACAATACCTTTGCCTTCCCACGCAATACTTTTGCACTCCCTCGTAATACCTTTGCGTTCCCAAGCAATACTTTTGCGTTCCCACGCAAAAGTTTGTTTTGAATATGAACTGTATTAAATCAGACTTTTATTTTGAAATATCCGGTTACCAAAACAGGATGTGTCGCCACAATTTTGTGAAATTGACATTGATGTTGCGTGGCTGCACTGTGTTAAAATATCAACATATGACATACTTCCATGTGTGGCTGTGTGATATATTCATTCTGAAGCTGAATTAAAGCAGTAGGCYAACKYRSTAATGGTGAACATGTGAGTTTGTTAATAAACCAGCAGCACAACAGTATTTAATGACTTTTGGGAGGGAATGCAAAAGGTATTGCGAGGTAACGCAATACTTTTACGTGGGAACGCAAAAGAAAAAAATCTCCCATGTCCCCTCGTGGGCTCAGTAGGATTCAGACCAAACAGTAATGTATTAATGTAACCAACAGAACAAATTAAGTCATATCTCTGAAAAAGCTGATGATATCAGAATGATCCAGGTATCAAAATGCAGCTTTTAAAGCAGGAATCTGAAAATGTCATTAGGCCAGTTTGACAAAATTTGACTTAATCCTCATTTCGATATGATGGCTCACACTTTTACAACAGAATGATTGACCAGTTTTAGAAGTGTAAAATGACTGGTTTACAACAAACAAAACAACATAAACATGTTTGAAATGCTTGAAGTTTTTCAAAATAACAAAATAAAGTGTGCTTCTGGGAGCATTTGGAAATTATTTTCATTGGTGGATTGGAAGCCACATAGTTCATACATCCATCCATCCATCCATTCATCCATCCATCAAACTCATCTCTTGTTCAAGAGTCAGGTCTCTGAGGTGGCAGCTTGAGCAGGAAGATCCAGATATCTTTTTTACAGACACCTCTTCCAGCTCTTTTGGTAGAACTCTAAGGAGATTTCAGACCAAACAAGATAAATGTTCTCTTAAGAGTTTTCTCTAGCCTGGTAAAAACCAGACCCTGTCCTTCTCTTTGCTTCATTCGAGGGTCTGGACTCTCAGCTATAGAGAAA